GTGAAATTGTCATTATGTGTTGTCATCTAGTATTGAAATAGTTTAACAAGTTGAATTTGTATGTATATAGTTGGAAAAAAAAAATTGTTGAGGAGTTGTGTGATTGTCAATTTTGTATACAGTAGAATACTTGTATACATAGTTCGATACATATGTATATTTGTATTGTTATACTTTCATCAATACTTTACATTTCTGTGTTAGTCAAACATAGCATTCATATTGATAATTTGTAGAGTAGAATGCATACAATTTTGGATACTTCTATTGTGTTAATGTGAACAATATAAGAAATTGAAATACAAATAGAGAGAGTTATACTTGTCATTTTTTTTATGTATCTTCATCTTGTATTGAAATAGTTAAACAATTCAATTTGTATGTATATAGTTGTAAAAAAATGAGTATCGAAAGAACATGAGCAAAAAAGAGATAGTATGATTGTGAAAATGTCAATTTTGTATATAGTAGAATACTAATATACATAGATAGTTGGATACACATGTATCTATGTATGTATTTTTATTCTTTCATCAATACTTACATTTCTATGTTAGTCAGTCATTCCATCCATATGAATGTTTGTAGAGTAGAATACATATAATTAATTATTGATACTTCTATTGTAGTAATGTGAACAATACAAGACATTGAAATACAATTAGATACAAGTTATACTTGTCAAGCTTTTGAACGAAACAATACATATATACTTGGATAATTACATATACAATTGGATACTTCTAGTGAATAGGTTTCACTGTCAATTGATTATTAGTTTCACTTTGCCACATTAATCGGATGTACATGATACATTAATACTTTGCATTTGATTATTTGTATTTCAATCTATGTTAGTATATTATTGCATTCATATGAATATTAATAAAATTGAATACATATATACTTGTATACTTTGTAGTGTACTAATGTGACTAGAAAAAAGAAATTGAGATTTATACTTTTCAAATCTTTTATACTGAACAATTTATATGTACTTGGATATTTACATATACAATTGGAGACCTATAGACTATAGTGCATTAAGAGTCATTGCCACTTGTTTTGGATTTTCATATGTAGTTGTCACTTGGATTCGACTGAACATATACCCGTACTCCCATATCGTTGCATATTTTCACAGGAGTATCATTACCTTTGACTCTGTATTTGATGGTGATACACGTTGTAGTCAGATCAATGTTCAATTGGCCCGAAATTAATTCAATCAAATCAGAATACGAAGTATATTCTTTCAATACGATTCCATCAATACTATATTCTATATAGCAATTTTCATCGTTTCATTTTCCAGCATGTCTGATCAATATTGTTAGGTTTGCCATTGAATTCAACTATTTTCGATATATGAATAAGATCAATGAAAAATGGAGCAATTTAAAAAAAAAAAAACTGAAAAGAATTAAAGCAATCACTGTTAATTGGTAATTATGACTTGTTAATTGATTAATGGAAAATTGAGAATTTAAAGGGATTAGTTAAAGGTCTGTCAATTATAAATAAGAAATTTTACCTTATTTAGTGCTTTATAATTTTAAATATATTAATGTATTTAACAAAAAAAAATGGGCAGGCATAGAATACGGCTATATTAAGTTAGAAAGTATAGCCATTTTATGTAAATATCACAATTTATGGCTATTTCAATTTAATAACCCTTAAACTATAGTCATTTTTGTAAGTTGCTCTTGATTTTAACTAAAAAAATCCAACCCAACATTATATATATAATTTTAAAATTTTATTTTATACATAAAAATATTTACTTTGATATAATTTTTAAATTTTTTTTTTTTTTTGAGAATGGTAAAGTTATAATTTTTAAATATTTCTTAATACTTTTTCATAGTTTTTATTTTTTAATATATTATTTCAAATTTGAAACTTAAAATTCTGAATAATTCAATAAAAATTATAGTCTACATATGTTAATAATTATAATAAAGCTTAAATCAAAATCAAATTAATACTTATGCAAAAAAAAAAAATCAATTCAACACTAAGAATGACATTAATATTTGAATATTTGTTACATTGGTTTAAACAATTAAAATACATAATCTAATTTTAATTTCCTTTAATATTTAATCATGTAATTAATACTTATTAAACTTATTTTAGCATAATTTAGTACATTTAAATTATGATCATTTTCATTATGACTTGTTAATTTGCAATATTTAATTTACGCGATTTCATTATTTTTTTTGTTGGATATTTTTGTGTCATTAATCATATCATATTTTGTGTTATTTTCTTAAGAAACATTTTAGATAGTTATATTTTGATAGGACTAAAAAAATATTTGAAGTACAAGTAAATTATATGCTTATATGAATACTTTACCAAAAAAAATCCAAAAAACCCAAGTTTTATTGGTTTGATTTGATTTATAAATTTATAAATCTGACACAAATAATTTGATTTGTTATTTGAAAAAACCCAAACAAACCCGCTATGTACACCCCTACCAAAAACCTCTTTCATAATCATACCAACCTGAAAACCCCAAAAATAACCATATCTCACAAAAAGAAAATACAAAAGCAATCAGGAACGAGGAGCCGCCATTTGCTGCTTCTTTACTCTTTCATCCTGCTTCACCATACTGAATACAAAAGAATGTTTGACGGATCAATATTGCAACCACTTCGAAGCAAAGATAGAATTAAGAAATTGACATAAATAGCGGGCAGATACAAATAGTTTTGGCTGAGCAGCCAAATGTGTAACTTCCCCTCCTAATAAATGCTTGCCATATAACAGTAATTGATAAATTCTATCCAACTTTTGTGTATGAAAACAGCCATTATCCTGACTCTCTTCCTTTTCCTTTGTAAACAGGACACAAATAGTCCAGATGAAAGCTTTTATTCTGGCTATCGACGAAAAAGGATCTTTTAAAGGGAGAGGGATGAGTCTATGGCAAAATAAGCATTTTAATATGTTGGGGGGCGATTTGTCAGTAATGTAGAAACTGACTTTACAGACTTGGAAGATAAATTGCAAAATTGAGCAGAGACAGACTCATTAGTATGTTTAGTAAGTGCATGATCAATCCTTCTATCAATTTAAGTAGCAATAACAAATCAAGGCTTTCAGATTGATATATAACTTATTATTCTTATTTTCAGATTACCTGATGTCATGAGGGGTAATAAATATCCACTGTGATCCTTGTGTCAATGCAAAATCCACGACAGCGTCTAGGCTGATTTTTCTGCTAACTGCATCCTGTACATTAATGGGAAGTTACAGATTGCAACCAATTGACTGTTTCTCTACGATATTTAGTGCAACTAAACTTGTCCCTACGTAATCAACAGAACAAGGATTTATAGATGCCTGACAGATTAGTAAATTTCAATTCTTATTCATGATTAGGACCCGATGAGTAAACCAATCTCCGATTGCGACAGTTACCACACCATGCTTGCATCAAAAGATCCATCCATCCAGATACATGGGGTGGCACTAATCTTACGAGGATATGGTCTAAAAAGACAACACCTCAAGTGCCACAATTCTTTGCAGCTTCTGCATTACCCATTTGAGCTACCTTTAAATTTACAGAATAATGTAAATAATAATCTCATCCGGAAATCTGATCCCTGATGATGGCAGTTATAGTGGACAAATTGTGAAAAGCAAAACATACAGCTAGGTGGTTTCATTCATTTATCTAACAGAGAAGAGGCTTCTTATTACCTTTTGTTAATGAAGGAATAGTCAGTAATTTCATGGTAAAGAGGACAATAAAAGAAAGAAATAACCAGAACACCAAATTCTAGCGATGACTTAGCTTTCAGCAGATATATGGTTATGAATGTTTTTTTTTTGAGAAGGTTATATGGTTATGAATGTTTTGCTACTCTGCCATCTGATCATTACAAACAAGTAGTTGAGATATATTCTCTACTCAAGAGTGAAATCCTTCAGCTTTTTGAGTTCCTTCAAAGTCATTATTCTGAATTTTCTTCTGACCAAGCTCTTTAAGCCTTAGGCTTCATTTGTTTCCTCCCTCCTTGGGGATGCAATTAATATATCAATCAACGACATAAATCAGATGATACACAAGTCTCCAACTTGTATTGTCATGTTCAATTCTATGTTCCCTTAGAGCCTGGGAGCGAAGGAGGAAAACTGGTTTATCACACTGATGATAGCTTTGTACTGAACATGGAGAGTACCAACGAAGGACTGATCCAATTTGGCAACCTGCTTGAGGAAACAGTCCACAATTGCCCTTGAAGGGCATTGCAATCTCTAAGGGATCGTTTGGTAGAGTGTATAAGAATAATGCTAAATAAAGTGTATTAGTAATGATTGCATTAATTATACATAGTTTATTTCTTATGCATTGTTTGGTTTGGTGTATTAAAAATAGCATGCATTGCATAAAAATATTTATTTACAAAGATATCCTTCACAATTATGGTGGATGTAAAAAAAAATTGAGGGGCAATGGGTCTTTAACCATGCTGATACATGCATTAAAACCCCTTGCATTACTAATATCTAGAAATTCATGGTATTAGTAATACAAAACTTATACACAATAGAGTGTATAACTAATGCCATTAGTTATCCATAGCATGAAAAAGTGTATCAAACAAGGTATTAATAATACAAAGAGTTAATGTGTACATTATTTTTGCTAATACACTCTACCAAACGACCCCCAAGTCATTTGGATATCTATTTGGAGACACTAGAAGAAATCTAAAAAGTGACGTAAACAACAATGATAGAAACGGCATGATGATGATTGGAAGTATATTTCAGATTCCTTTATTTCAAGTTGAAATCAACAATGTATAAAAACTGTGTAAGTAGATGTACGTTAGAAGAAGAAACATAGCTGCAATGCGAGATGGGATAAAATCAAAACATTTTGCTTAATTGTACAGGCATAAAGCATTCTTTAAGAAAGTTAAGAAAACAAAGCCAAGTTGTAAAACTCACCATAAATACATCAATTCATCCATTGCTCTAAATGGAGCTTCAGTCATCTCATGAAGAGCAAGTGCAAAACACAAAGTTGAAAAAGAGCGTTCTCCCCCTGATTTACATGAGAACAAAGTTTCACATCAGGTTAAATTTACCAGGATGCTCAAAGAAGGCATCCATAATATTCTCAGGAGAAAGAATTCATTGTCAAAGATAATCGCCGAAGAGGTACAAATAAAGCATGCAATTAACAAGCAAATTAGATATAATTTAGATGGGAACATCATAATACATAGGGAAAAAGGACAAAAACTAGAGCATATATACCCTTTATACTAACGGACATACACGTGTTATCATATTATCCACCAACCCGACATTTATTAAATATCGGATCGACAGATAAGATTATGCCACGTGTCCTTATTTAGTCTTCCGTTAAAGTGAAGGGCATATATGCTCTAGTTTTTGGACGGCAAGGGCACCAATGTCCCAAAAGTATGACGGAAGGTATCTACATACCATTTACGATAATTCGGGGGTATATTTGTCCTTTTTCCCTAATACATATATAAGCCTTGGGAAATGGGAAATGGGAATTGGAAAGCACATTTCCCTCCCTCCAACCTTCAGGTGGAAAGAAAAGGGGAAAGGATTGGCCAGGCCCCTCTCCATTAGGATTTTAACATGCGGGGCCCTGCCCCCCCACCCCCACCTCCCCAGAAAGTGACTGAACCCTTGGCCAAAAGTTAAGTTTCCGTTGAGAATTAGGACATCTGATTTATAAGGCTTACGTAAGGACATGAGTCGTGACCAAAGAATCTATTGCAACCACTCATTATATCCTCTATGTGTGCACATTCATTCATACCGTATCTGCAATGCAGTCTAGACAGAAAAATATTTTTTCCCTTCTGGTACTTGCAGCAACAAACTAGTCTCACATCCCAATTTTAATGATCTAAAGTTGATCTTTCTCAAGATGTTAAACAATACTTTTCTTTCCCACACCATTACCACCTGTGATCACAGTGCCAACCCAACTAGCTATGGATTACGGCTTAGTTGATTGATTGTGGTGTATCTATATAAATTTGAGACAAAAGGGATTTTACATTCAAATTTTCCACCCTAGGGCATCATCCATTGATTCTTGCATTCACTTTCCAAGTATTTGTAAAGAATGAGAAAAAACCTGAAAGTCCTCGTGTGTCACGAACACTGCTGCTTGATGCATCTTGGGGCATTTTTACCTGAGGAATATTTCAGAGAAACAAAAAAATAGATGGGCGAAACAGAATTTAAAGAATCAGTTCACATAAATAATAATGGACTACTAGCTTAGACAAACAGAACCATGTCATGTTAGTTCAAATCACCTCTATTGAAAGAGTCTTCTCTTCATAACAAACCTTGATGTGCCCACTGATTCCTTTCTTACCCAAATGGCCGTTAAATCTAATACAAAATTGGCAATCAAGATAGTTGGGATATGAAGATACTAAGAACGAAGGAACCCACATAATATGGATATGTAAATGATAGAGATCATACTGCCATGTTAACTGGCGCTTCAAAAGAGTAGCATTTCTCTGGAATTTGCTCCATCGTAGCTCGAGGGCTTTATGGCATGCCTGACAATATGTTAAGGAAGATTTATATTAGTTAACGTTAACAAAACAAAAGGGACAGACCCAAGATGGATTACATTGGCACCAAGCAAATGGGTAAAAGAGTTTCAAATTAAAGTGAAGAAACACAATAAGAAATCCAAAAAGTATTAGGAACAAAAGACTGACTTAATATAGCACAAATTCCCCAAATGTCATAAATATTGGCTGAATTGCAACAATTAAACTAACAATTATAATGCATGGCTTAAGGACGCATTGCCTCACTAACTCAGCTGTGAGCCAGAAACTTCAGCAAAGTTGGAGGTCAAGATTCATGATTTTAAGATAACTAGCATTTCTAGTCATTCCAATTAACTCAGAACGGGTACAGAATCTGAGAAATTAGATGTACAATTTTCACTAGTCTATCTTGAACAATCACTTAGTAGGTAATCAAATACCAAGTATTTGGAGATAGCAGCTCGCAATCTATATATAACACGAACAATTGTCTGTCTTACTGTTTACAGACAATTGTTCGTGTTATATATAGATTGCGAGCTGCTATACGATAACATTCAACTGTATGAAAATCAAAACAATCTATAGAGTCCTTTGGTTAGAGGGATCAGGAAAAATAATCCCAGTACAAATTTGATATTATTTGTCATTCATTCCAGTATACTTCTTGTAGATAAATTTAGGTATCATCTAACCGTGGTGTCCAGGTCAGCTTGCATGCACCTCAACTAACTCCACATAATACTTGTCACTCCAATATTTAGGTATCACTATCATCTTATACTTGATACAAGAGCGCATAGCAAATACAGGTATTAGGTATATGGGTATTAGTGTTTAAAGCAATCCCTGCATTATAAAACTCCTCTATAACTAGTATATGAACCAAATGATCCCATAATGTTCTCTTACATTACTGGTACATTATAGGCCCTCAACCGATGTGGAAAACTCTAACACTATCCAGTTCTATAATAAGTTTCTCCTTATATCATCTCTGATTTTGATAGAAAGTACTGGAGATTTTAAAGCAGATTGCTGTCTTCTGAGGAAGATCACACAACTTTGGTAAGATTTATTGCCCCCTAACATCTCTCTGTACCATCTTCAGGCAAAGATATGTGGTACCAATAACACAAAACCAATACAAATAATGCAAAGCGGTTTCCAGGAAAGCTTTCCTTACTAGCATAAAGCACCAAGCATCAGTGAGGAAGTACGTCGTTCATATCAATGGGAAGAATATATTTTTTCACAGAACAAAATTTAACATCTAAGCACTCTTAACATGATGACAAAGCAAAAACAGATCAGTTTTCACTTTTCACTTATAACACAACTACAGAGGACTTGCTGATCCTCTGTAATCACAAGAACTCCTTCATTACCATTTTCTATGAGC